GTCCAGAGGCTTGGAGTAAGGGGAGAGAGAGAGATGTTTATAGGATCCACCTGCAATTGGGAGGTTTACTCCTTCGATGACTGGGAAGACTCGCGGAAAACAATTTTTGGAACTTTGCGTACGATGAACTGAACGAAAGACTTGGCTCCTCAATGAAACTAGGATCCGCATCCACTTGGTGGGACTCGAACCTGACCCTTTCTAAGGGGAGGAAGAACAGTGCGTCAAGTTCGTCATTGCAGCGAACACCGTCATGACGTTTGTCCTCGACAACTGCAAACGCGGACGCTGACACGAGACTGCGACGAGCAGAAGAAGGGATGGAAGATGAACCAGTGTGCCGAGTCCCAAGTGGCCGATAGTTTTTGGACTCGCTGATAAATCCACTCTGTCGACTTGCCTCAGAGTGGAAATAGACCGGACAGGTCACGAGTTTGCCACAGGAGATACAGTATAAACTTGGAAGTTATGAAGACCAATATGTCGTGGCCCCCGGTACAACGTTGGTCGAAGGATTGACTTGACTTGTTTCTTTGACGAGCTGTAGCTTGGTGCGGAGAATTGCGAGACTCATTGATGAGGCCGACTACGATGCCGGCGAAACGTTTGAGAATGTATCGAGTCCACTGTCTGATGCTGGGAATCATGACAACTGCGATGACAGACGACTTCGGACTAGATGCGTTCTACGAAGTCGCCATGACAACAAGACCAAGTTGCGATAAGGAGGTCAACCCATTTCTATAGATCGAAAGGAGACTGCGAGCATACCAGAGGCCACAACATCTTGGTCTGAATAACTTTAATTAAACTAGAAAAGTTTAGACAGTTTCCTACTTTCACTCAACCAGCGTGAAAGGAAGATTTGGTTCACAATGGAAATGGAAGAGAATAAGTCCTTACCCTGTCTTGATGTTTTCATCATTTTGAGAAGAGGGTAATGGACGAAGAGATGTTTATAGAAATCCAATATATGTTGGTTCTGCTTAATTTTCTTTACAACCTTAGTTACAAGAATACGATGCCGGCGAAACGGCTGAAAATGTGCCAAGTCCACGGTCTGATGCTGAAACTTATGATAACTACTATGGAAGAGGACTTCGGGCAAGGTGCGTTCTACTAAGTCGCCCTGACAACGACACCAAGTTGCGAAAACGAGGTTAACACGCTACAATAAAAACTTATTTTAAGCTCGTCCGGTAGCGTACCAGATCATCGGTCCGGCTTTGGAAGAAATCACCAAAACACTGGCACGAGGTTCAGGATGGGCTACATTCTTCGTTAG